ACTAAACATGTTTGTGACTGATACTGCAGAAAGTATGTGGGGACACTGGCTCTGAAGACACTGGCTCCTCCTTCTGTTCTCCAGGTGCCAGCTGCATGTCTCTTGTCCTTTGTGAGTCCTGCGGTCACGAAGAGCGTGACCCAGTTCTGCCCATAAGAACATGCTCTGCAGGAGAGCGTGGATCATGTATAAAGCCCTGGGACCCATTTATTAAAACAGATGCAACAGACTAAATGAGGAGCCCATTTTGAATTTTGTGCAACATAACCAGCAGCCAAGGTAATTACTGAAAGACAATTAATTTGTGTTTTAATTCATAATTAATTCATATAAAATGTCTTATTTATTATTTTTTATTTGTGGGTTTGGAGTACAAACTGGTCCAGATTCTTCTCAGAATGGTTAATTTGACTGAAAGTAAGTGAGTTACAGATTTCCATTAATGTTTTACATGAGACCAAGTTCCCTTTTATCAGAAGTAAATTAATTAAGAAAAAGTACAAGGGCCCTTATCAGTCCCCCACAGAACATGAACAGGTTAAAAATGAAATCAATCCATTATTTTTTAAACTCTTTTAAAAATCTGCTTTATTTTAGTGCAAATGTATACATGTTTTTTCATGATGTGCTGCAGTTACACTTTGGCCCAGGTCACCCTTAAAAAAGATATCAATCTCAATGTTTTTCATCTGGTTAAATAAAGGTTAATAAAATAAATAAACAAAGCAAAATGTAGAGAACATATCTGAAGGGACTAGGCAAATAGTCATATTGCTTCTGATGACCTGTTGGGGGCTGCAGCAGTTGAAAGCTGTGCCTAAAAGACGTAAAAATGCTCTTCCTCCCTCTCTGTGCAGCTTGCCTGATCACTGGGGGTGGTGTCTGTGTCTGACACCTGTTCATTTGAAAGCTAATTTTCTTTGATTTTATGGAGGCTGTGTTTTGATAAAGGGCCGGGATGGTGTTGTGAATCGCCTGCCGCTCCGGCTCCTTCCCTGCGTCGCTAATTAAGATCCTGGTACTGCAGCGCTAATGTTAATTCACAGGTGTGTACTTGCCTGCCAGTCACCATAGCAACCTCAAGGTGTGCCATCTAATCTGAAAAGCACATATATTTTACTTGTGCTGTTATCAGGACTGATTAAGCTGGACAGCAAACAATTGCAGGACAACCTACTGATTTCTCCTTGACAGGAAATTGAGGTGGTCTGGTAAAAGTCAGTGCTTAAAGTGGATAGTAAACACAGTGTAAAGGCTTGTTCAGAAAAGAGCACCAAAGGCCTATGGCTGCTTAAGTTCCCTGAGTGTTTGCTAAGGCCAGAAGAATGGTTATCTATAAATCTATATATCTACTCTCAGTGTATCAGTATTATAGTGAAAAACTGGTGCTTTAAACCCCCATTACTGATTTTGAACCATGGGTTAGAAGCATTGGTCAGATTGAAGTGTTAGCTCTGCCCACTATAGTGCCTTTTAGGCGTGTCCTGATATAAAATATTAGTGTTACAATTTTAACATTATTTGTAGTTATTCCTTGAAGTCTTACATAATACTCCTGTCTGACAGTGAGAAAACTTTAGCCTGACAGAAGCGAAGAGTGCACAGGCAAGCCTGAACAACGATAAGGTCAGGTGAGGAGGTTTCATATCTGCCATTTACTAAAATCTTATTTACTTTCATTCACATTTTAATTAGATTACCATCCATTTGGTGTGTGATATTCCCACGTACATCCCATCAACAACATGCCTCATCCAACAAAATACCTAAGAATATTCTTAAGCTCTGTGTCTCTTTGTTTATAGTTTACAAAGAACTGCTTCTACACATGTTGCTATATATTTCCCAAACTAGAAATTAAAGTTCAGTACAAAGCCTAGAAGTATTTTTTACTTTAGGTTATGAGGTATGCAGTCAAGTCAATGATTCACTTGACTCTTCTGAGACAATTTTCCAAAAGGAAAATGCCCTTTATGTTGATTGCAGTGTGGTCTGCACAGCGTCATTTGTCTCAGCCTGAACATTTTCTGCAATCAAATCAACACAAAGAGCCTCTTTTATCTCAGCTCACTGGGAATTGCATCACCACAGGCACCAATCAGAAAAGCTTATAGAGTGTAATATTGTTTTACCTGTAAAGCCAGTGACAGAGACAAGGAGGCTCAAAGAGACAGCAAATGAGATGAAACATCACTGTGGTTTGGACAATAAGGACATCATGTAAGCATGCTATTCTGATCACACAGTTTCTTTGACATTTCAAGGTACAAGCAGTAGCACTTCAATTATTATATAAAGAGAATTCAAAAAAATAGCTGTAGAATGTCGACAGGGTGTTGATGACTACTTAATGAAAGTGCTTTCATTTCCTATCACACCATTTATTGTTTTTCATATGAAAAAGAAACTCATTTCAATTCAGTTTCCGGAATGAAAGCAAATAAAAGTGTTGTAGAGTTAGGTATTTTCCTGATGTGCATTTATCAGGTTTAGGGAAAAGAATGGAATATGCCTAGTGTTATTCAACAATGTTTGAGACAAATAAAGTTAGGATTAAAATATATTACTTGATAAAAGAATGTCAGTGTTGTCATCATGAAGGTCCATTCAGTAAAAAAAAATATAGTTGTGTCAGCATGGATTAAGATGATTTGTTTTTTTAAATAAATAGGAAAATTACACTTGGTTGGGACAGTTTGGGTTATGTACATAAATAAAAAACACATCTTGTTAACTGATCTACACTGCATAATTCATGATAAGACTTTACGTAAGAGAAACATGCAAAAAACCACAAAGATGCACTTCTGTTTAACCACCAAATGTCAAGAAATAAGGATAAGTGTTTTGATTATTGAATAAAATACAACTGCAGGTATGATTCTTTAAAATATTATAAGATATACTCCTGTGTTTCCTTCTCTGATGACCTCTGACTTCTACCATTGCCTCTCCCCTACGCTGGCCATGTGATGCTTAGTTGAAAACACCCCCTGATTCGTACATTCCTGTGCTCCCCCCATAATGCCAGTGGCCCGCACGTTGCTATGGAAACACCAACAGACACTGGCGTTTGCTAGGTGCAGTTGTCTCAAGTCTCCATTGAGCATGGAGCCTGCACCTCTCCTGTACTCCCCTGTACTGGTCCAGCGCTTCGTGGTTGGGTGACAGGGAGAGGGACTTTGACAGGGTCGCTGAAGGCTGTGGCCACAATGGAGAGAAGTGTGATCATTAACGCAGCTGGCTGCCACGCGATAAACACCACACAAAGACTCAAAGACAGCTCCAAAGGTCTGCACCCTCACTGTGACTCTCTCAGCTGTTATGGCCTAAATGGGCATGTGATCACACCTGATCCTGGGCTTCACACCGTCAAACATCTCAACCACAATATCTCACAACCTTGCCACAAAAACTAGTGGATTAGAACCAAATACTAGAAACATTCATATGGTGTTAGTCATTAATGTAGTAAACAGCTTTAAAGTCAATAATTGTTTTGTTTATTTTTATGTAAAAAAATATTTAAGTGCTGTGTACAGTAATCATGATTTAATCAAATAATTTGATTAATGGCACAGTCCCTGCAAACAGTTATTACATATTGTGCAATGTGCTTACTTGCAGGCTGTTGTGTACACATTTGTAGATTTCAGATTTTTTTAAAAAATGTTTTCTAAACCCTAGGCATAATGAATATATTAGAGAATATATATATAGGAATATATGAAAATATATGTACTTTAGGATTCAAACAGTTTACTCTTTTTTGCAGAAAGATAAATGACAGTGTTATCACATTACAGTAGATTCATTTATTACCATCTTTTCCAATTACCCAAATACACACCCATTATTGAGGTTGCCATAGAAATTCAAAGACCAATAACCACCCCTAATACTTTCCACTCTCAAACCAAGAAAGCAGTGGTTCGTAATTGTCCCAATCAAATTGTATCTCCATTGGGTTTCATTGCCAACTTTCACTTCATCCATGCCCATACATTCTCTACTGAATTCTCCCATCCTCCATCCTCACGCAAGAGAAGACAGCATTATAAATCAATTTACAAGCTGCGAGAGACATCGAGCTGGAGATGGAAATGAACAATGGCAGATGAAGAATATTGGAAAACATTTTCTTGTAGCCACAGTAAGTACACAGCACAGTGCACTGACAGTGTGTAGCTACAGTTACAAAACCTATTAATGTCTATGCATGTACAATAGGCCTAGTATAGAATAGAAATATCATAATACTTTTTATGAATTTCCTTTGTTCACTGGAGACAAAGTTTGGAGAAGCATTTGTGTATACAAACACAGAAATGATAATGTAGCCCAAACTATAATCATGGCGGTACTGCTACAGAAACCACACAAAGTGAAACATTTGGGACAATATCAGTGCAGGTCTTCCAGTTTTGTGATTGTGTAATGCATCACCATTTAGACTGATGAGTTACTGTCAGAGCTATGGTTAATGGTAATAAAAGGGTTCATCAAACCTTCATATACTGCAGTCTGTTTTAGCATCATGCGACCTGATACATTTTGAAATGTCACCAGAGCACACATGGCCCCTGTATGGAAGTCAGAACAATAAAAAGAGACAGCATTTTTACCTATCTCTTCCTGATATGAAGGAATTCCTGAAGCTGCTTCCACTTCGAACTTCTTCAAGATGTACTCCTCCAAGAAGCTAAAGGCAGTGCTGAGGTCTTTTAACCTGCCAATTAAATACAACATGGCACACATGAAATAGGCTTCTTAAGTACAGCAGGACATGTGGAGAGGGTAGATCTAAAAACCATGAGAAGTAGTGGTTAGAGGATATATAGAACTCATTGAAAAAATAAAAAAATATTATTATTCCGTTAAAAAAAAAAAATAGAATGCACGTACCATTCATTGCTAAAAACAGTTTAAAAAAACAACACCACACACGCTCTTTAATTTTATTTAAAGTAGCTCATGCCATACAGAATAATACCAAAACAGAGTGGTTGGAGCATCACAGTGTAAAAGTATCAGTACACATCAGGCCCAAGCACAACAAAAGAATATAATTAAGAGCACATTTTTATACAGTTAATACAATTTAGAATCAAGTAATGGACTGGCAGATTTTCAACGCGGAACCTGTTAAAACAGGAAGACTTAATCTTATTTACAGAATCCTTAAAATTAAACCATCAGCTGGCCAGTGGGCCAAAGTGAATCAGTTCATCATAAACACATGGTAATACAATGATTGCTTAGGCCAGTGGCTGTCTTTTGGTAATTATTATACAGGAAATACAAGGACCACTTAACCTGCATGCTAGAAGGGTATGTCACTCATAATATATACTGTACATGTTTCATAGATTTTTATTTCAGATTAAATTACTGTTAACCTTACAACCATTATTTTGGGAATGCAAAGTAGGTCAAAATAATGAATACTAAAAACTATTGCTCTCAGCTGAAAACATACAACCTCATTAAGAAACACACAACATTTGTTGTTTTCTTTCAGCTACACAAAGCTAAAGCCTATATCAGTACATACAGATTATTTAGATATGTTTATTGATAAGGTTGTTTACTTAGAAATGTGTCCAAGAGACAAAAAACAAAGCACATACACTATATAGTATAGTTTTAGTTAAACTGGCACAGAAATGCCCGGTCAGCAGCAGTTACTCTCCATTGAAGATAGTCCACCACCTCACAATACAAATATAGAAACAATCTACAATATGCATCAACCCAACTGCAATGAAAACATTGGCAACAACAGAAGTAACAGCCATTCATAAAATTGTAAAAATATACAAATATGTATCTGCAAAGCCACTGTATTACCAATTAAGTCACAAAAACATCAACTAGTATCATCGAAGAATAGATATTTCATCTTATCCCACTTTAAACGGCAGTTGAGATCTGTTGTCTGCATATGTGGTGTCTGTCTGTCAGACAGGTGTTCCTATAAACTGCAATCATGTGTCATTTCTGCCTATTATATTATTATAAAAAAAAAACAACATTTTAATATTTTGGTGATTTCTTGATACATTGTTGGTGCAACTTTTGAGTATATTGGAATATATAAATATGTACTACAATACATACAAAGTGGGCACAAAATCATTAATGTAAAACAGTAGCAAAAAATTACATACAAATTGAATAGTTTCATGCAAAAAATATTCATCACACACACCATCTCACATGTACACAGAGTAAGGCTTTAGGGTCTCATACTTTTCAGGCATTTCATGCAAATGTACACCAAATCTGGGAGATCCAGAGCACGGATACTATCCAGGGTGGCATGAGTCCTACATCCTTCCCCAAAACTCACTTTAACTCAAAATGAGCATCCACTGTCAAACTTTTTCGTCCATTAACATGGTTGCATAAAATGATGACTACCTCCATTTATATGACTGGCATATTTATTTGGTACACTGTAGAAAATGTGACGCTCCACATAACCCCATAAAGCTGCATGTGTAACAAATACATGCTTTACTAAGGCTTCAAAATATATGGACTAATGCAATGAAACCTAATGTACAAACAAGGTTCTCCATTTGACAGAAATTTACTGTGAGTTGTTTGTTTTACTTTATACAAAAAGAGACAGATTTTAAGTAATAATTTTCACTATTATTACAACAGTTTCTCATGTATTGCCTCCTTATATATTTTTACCTAATGTGCTAAACAAAAAACAGACACTATAGTACTTGTACTCGTATTTGCCATTATTGAGTCTGTGTGAGTTGAGTTCTCTGCTTTTTTGAAGTCATAACATAAAACCCAACTGCCAAATTACAGACCCCTTACCGTTAAGATGGCAATTATACAGATAGTGAGATTATGACAATTTTAGAACTCTGGTTGCATTCACAACAAACTGAATGTGAATTTGAATGTGAATGTAAATGTGACTATTGTGACTGCCTTATTTGTCCACAGCTCTCACCTGTGTATACCATGGCAACAAATATCAAAGGGTCATTTGCACATCAGGATGTAGAGCCACTTGAAAGCTCACAAAAGCATCTTTGTCTGTAGTATTACGGTACGTTTTTACAGAATCACATCCTGTGTATTTATGAAACACAACAATAAAAAGCATGCCACCCAACACACTGCAAGCAAAAATATGGACAAAAGTTAGAGCAGAGGAGTTGAGTAACCATTCAACAGTTCAGTAACCAGGTTGGGAGATATGTCCAGAACTCCTCTCTGAGCCAAGAAGATTTAATGAGGTTTGTTATAAATAGAGGACAGTGCCAAAAATCCTATTCTTGTTATTCTTCTTTTAAGAAAACAATTACAGAGAATTAGCCAATTTTGGAAAAAGAAAAAAAAACATGCGGGCCCAATTTCTTGAATAGATTGTCTGTTTTATCAGTTCACTTTCTTCTACTAGAACATTAGTTTTGAGACCAGTGCAAACATTAAAAATATTCTTGCCATTGTGCTTTAACAGCCTGTTTCAGATTTAAAGTCCTGATAAGAGCTTTGTTAAAGGCACCTCTCGCTCTCCCAGCAGTGTGTCTCTCTTGAGGCTTGTTCCTTTATTCACTACCTTGAACTTAACAGATAAGGTCTTCACTTGAACTGAGCTTATCGAGTCAAAGAAGAAGTCCTCTTTAAACACAGGGTTACGGCTGTTCTTGATTATGTTGCTTCTTTGCTTCTGCAGTTTCCCGGGGTTAAGATAAACAGACACACAGCAGTTAATGCTCTTGATGTCAAAGTGCTTGTCATACAGATTCTCTGCAGCTAGGACACGGATCAATAAGCGGGATGTACTTGTATCATAATTTGCACTGATCCTCACCGTGCCTCCTTTATGCAGATTAATAATGTGTTCTCGCTGAAGCCCATGATCAGATGCCCCTGAACTTCCATGCAAAGAAGGGACATGGAGGCGTCGTTGGACATTAGGGCTAGGTTCTGCTGAGCTGCATTCATCTGTTGACAGTGAGCTATGACGGGCAAATGTCCGCTTGGCCTTCACAACCTTTGCTTGAGTTTCGTGGGTGAAGATCTTTAGCAGAGAGGCTGATCGGGAAAGTAGAGGTGAGCTGAAGGGAGAGGATTCTGCAGAAGAACACGTGTCACTCTCCCCACCACTGAAATATCGATAAGGATTCATGTGGGACGGGTTGCAGTCTGCTGGGTTCAGATGATTCCCTCCTTCACTGCCTTTGCCCTGTGTCCTCCTCTGAGTATTGGGGGATGTCATGGGACTTGTAACCTCGCAGTGAAACAAAGACTCTTTACGCCGTGTGTGAGGACTCTCCTTTAATGTGGCAAAGCCATAAGAGGTCTGGGTCTTGGGCACATAAGGCAATGACATGGCGGTTTGTGACTGAGGATCTGCATTTGTGTCACCAGCCACAATGTCATCAGCACTTTCTATTTGTATAATGTGGCGGTTAGCAGCTCTCAGCAGGTTTTTAGTGTCTCCTGCAATCTTAGCAACCAGTCTAGGGCTGCGGGGGCTGCTGATCTTCTTCCCACTTCCAATTGTTTGTTCTGAAGTAGAAGGCTGTACCTCCTCTTTTGGTTTATGAATCTCAGGTTCTGGGGGACAGCTGACAAGCTTTGGAGGAATGAAAAAGTCAGGGATTTTGTCTGGGGTGAGGACGTTGGTATATGTTGGAGCCACAGCATTTTTCTTATCTCCATTCTCTCCCTGACGCAGCACATTGGTCTCCACAGACCCACGCAGTTTATCCAGAACCCACATGGCCCCACCACACAGTGGGAGATGTGGGATGTCAGAGTCACTCAGGTGTTTCTGAAATTAATTAGACAAAAAGAGATGGTGTGGAAATAATTAAAGTCAATCCACAGAGTGTACAGCTTTACCATATATGAATTTACAAACTTTCTGAGGACCTCACAATGTAACAATCTAACATTGCAGGATGTAATTAAAATTAACACGGAATAGCCTACTACTACACTGAGAGCTCGACGTTTAATAGCAACTCTCTTTTGTTAAAATATTTAGTAAAATCTATCAAAATGATTAAAAAAAAATAAAAATTGACACATTTCTAAAATAAAGTTACAAACAAAACCCAATTGCGTCATATTTTCTTTAAGTTAATACATCAATTTGCCCTGCTAAACTTGTACTGACCAATCAACAGGTTAAGGCAGCCCAGTTATTACGCACAACAGTGTTAGACATAAATACTAGGGTACTTACTAGGAAACTTACATAAAGGATAAAGGCTAATATGCTGCATAAACTATAGAAATGTCTTAGCCTAAGTACTTCTTACCAGTCAAAAGTCCCTTTTCCAGCTGCAACGTGAGTAACAGGTGTTTCCTCGTTGGATGAACCGTGCGCTCTATGGCGCAGCTCCGCGCCCTCTCTCCAGTCTGCGACTCAGAGCTGTCTGTGTTTTATATGCGACGACGACCGCAGCTGACCAATCAAACCCGGGCTCTTGGTTTCTTTGAGCTGCACAGCAGCAGGTGAGGGCACACGCGCATAGGCAGTGCAGGTTACTAACCGCATACATGAGCTACTGTCTGGATTCCTCCCACCTGTAGCTCTACGTGCTCAATTATCTAATTATTATTGAGCTATTCGTTTTAATTAGCATGCTATTAGAGTTTATTAATTACTACTGACTAAAAATCCTATCAATAATCTATCAGTCACACAAATGCTGCGGTTCGTTGGTTTATTTCACATCTTTTTAATAAGTCTCTTGTCTGTGTGTTTTGGGGTACAAAGTGGTGTGTTTCCCTGGATACTTCACAATGGTAACAATACATGTATCTGTCTAAAAGAGGAAGGGCCACGATGACTTCGAAAATCTGATTCTGTTGGACTTTTTTTTTTTTTTTTTCTGAATCAAATGAGTAGAGAGCAGGGCCACGTTGTTAAGATGCCCGCTACACGAGAGACATAACTCCCCTGGACAATACAACATTTTCTTAAAATACGTTACACAAGCTATAGTTTCATACATTTAAGACAATTAGTTGCTTAATCCCAGTCATAAAAACTCTTACATTAGTACGGATAGAAACAACTTTCTGTGAAAATGTGAAAGCTAGCACGTTCATTTACCTGTTTTTGGCTGTTGATTGAAGTGAAATGCAGTCCAGGTGCCAGAAAGGTTAATCTTGCGCAATAAAATAACAAATTCAAACAAAAAGGCTGTGCATTTTGCACAGTTAATGCAGTTTTTTTCATCCAGTTTGTGCCCGCGACTGTCCCTTCTGTCTCCCTTTCCCGCCAAAACTGTCGACTTTTAATGCAGGTGACTGATCACCTCATTTTGCAGAAGTGGGTGTCCAGTCATTCACTGTCACCCTTAAAGAAAACAAAATGTGGGTCAATGCTAGTTGTTTACTGTGTAATGCGACATATGTTTAGAGTGAGCACAATGAACTATACAGCATAATTATTAAAATTGTGTACAGCCAGAGTGTAGTTCCATATTAATTTAATTTCACATTTTCACAATATTTGATGGACCTAGTGTGAAATAACTACTAGGCGACCACATTTGCATAAACATTCTAAGTCTTATTTGTCTTATGGTGTTTTTCCAGTTTGTCTGCAGAGATGGGTTCAAGTGTACACAGGAATCTGGATGTTTTGTGAAGAGTTAAATCAACTCAATTGCTACATTCTACACCACAAGATGACATATGACAGTGAACCAGGAAACAGTAAGGATAATCCTTCATGGATGAAGCTGTAGCAGGACATCCTCAGTGTGGGGCCATGTAAACCAAACTGTTAGATAATCAGAAGTAATCACATATCTTGGGCGCTGAAGTCCAGCCAAAGGTCACTGCCTGATGTAATCACCTTGAGAAAAAAGAAACCTATTTACCATATAGATTGCAAGACCACAATTGAACTCTCACCCTCTGCTGTAAGCTATATCTCACTCACTTACTAAATGTAGGTTATTATTTATTTGAATCCAATCATGCCATCTCATATTTTATAGTTGTTAATGAGATATAGCAAATAACTGAAAGATCACACAACATGTCCAGTTCAATTACAGCAGCAATCTGCAAAGGAAAGACAGGGTGCTTCCTCATTAAGAGGCTTTATTTTATTTGCCAGTAGTGGTTAGTACATATGTAGGCTATGAAACAGATGCATTCAGAATACACGTTTTGAGTAAATGTATTCCAGTAAATTGTTAAATCTGAATAGTTACTTTCTTAAAATGAAAGGAATACACCATGGTTCATGACCATGCAACATAACCTTCAAACTAATAAAAGTTAAAAGTAAAGTATTCCAAGTATTCAGGACCATGTAACAGATTACATTACAAAATACATTTTATTGCTGATATTCAGTATTCTGTCAGTATATTCTTGCAATCAGTGTATTCCAGTCGGTGCCAGATATAAGAGCAGGGCAGAAATAAACAATGTAGCCTTTGGATGTTAAAATAACTGCAGCACTTCTGCATGACTAAAAGGGATGCCATGTAGCCTACTGTGTAGAAGCAAGACTGCTAGGCCAAACACGCAGAAAGGCCCAGCAGGATGTCTAGTGCACTGCATTTTCAGGTTAGTGCAGTCATTTCTATAGCTTTGCATGTGTGCGACTACTCATAACACTCAATCATTACTGTCAAAGAGGAAAGAAACACACTTGACGTCATAAAGTGATTTTTACCCCACTTATATTGTTGTCATCCATTTTATTCCGTCCACCACGATCCTACCTTCAACTTCTGTTGCCTTGGAGACTTGGCATATTCTGACATATGGACCAATCCCCCTACTTTCTTCAACTCTACAGTCAGTATCACACTGTTATCCACCCTTTTTATTTAAGCAGACATTTGGTGCGGCTCAGATATGTACATATATATCCAGAGCTTAATTGAATGCCCCATTTGGGGCAATCTTTCTCTTACTGTTTGAGGGTAAAAGATCCAAGATAGATTTTAAAGGATCAGAGAGAATTTAATGAAATTGGAAGAATCTGTTTAACATGATCCCCCAACTCATGACACCTGTCCAGCAGTGTTCCAGTGAATCTGATTCACAGATTAAGCCCTGTATTATAAATATGTTTATTTCTAGAAGAGAGGATTGCTTGTTGCTGCCAAATTTGATTTATGTGACTTGGTTGTTTGAGTAGTTGCACTAACTTTAGTGCGTGTACATTTGATCATCGATAAATATATATGATCTTATATACCAAAAGACCTATCAAAGAGTAACTACAAACTATAATGAAATATGCAAGTATTCCATTATAGCAACAGTAAACTTTTGTCACTTTTACCGTGTCTTTGTCCACAGAAGATTAATTGCAGATTTGTGACCTGAAAAATACCAAAACATTTTATTTCACAAATGTGTGTTTTTTATTTATACTCTTCCTCTGTCTAGCACCTTGTTAGACACTAACTTTAGTTGTTTAAAGCTACATGTCACTGCCCTCTAGAGGCATAAAGATCAAAATGAATTGACTCAGTTTTGAGTCTAAAAATTTTATCAATAAAACTATACAACAAACATGCAGGAAAGGGCAGGCACAAGGCCAAGTATCCAGTCCCACAATCAGCAGATGGCAGATGTTATTTGATTTTGCAGTGGAAAAGGGACACAGTTCAACTTCTACAGGTAAGTTACATGCAACATTAACCTGATATGCATATGAATTACTATTACGATAACAAAAAAGCTAAAAGGTAAGTAAATAAAATTGTAATTATGAACAGCCACAACAAGATGTATACATGACTCACCAACAAACACCAGCTGACACATTTCCTGGAAGCTGTAAAAGAAAAATTCCACATACGACGGATCAGAAATCATCTTTGAAAAAGCCACCCTTTTTGTTTTTATTTACAAAACAGAGCATCAGAAAATCCTTTAAGGTCTCCACCACCCTTTTTAGGATGACTACAGTGTACATCTCTCATCATGCGTAACTAAAAATATACAATTGCAGAGGATTGACAAAGTCTTACCTCTCAATAGCCAGCACAAAGATGCAGTGAACCATACTTTGTTTGCACATTCCTACAAGAGACTTTAAGATAGTCAATTAGAACTGCTGCTTAGTCAGGTGAATACATTATATAAGCATTAAATACCTTTGATTGTATATGTCATCTTGACTTTGTCTTCTGTACATGCATCATGTTTTGCACACATTTGTGTGGACTCTTATCACACATCAACATCTAATAAAGATCTTTATTTCAGATTTTAAATAGATTTATAAACCATAAGAAAAAAAGGAAATATAAACAGGAAAAACATCAAGTGATCATCCAAGTATCCACATGAGCATATCAAGGTAGAGATTGTAAACAGTTCTTTTGTGGCCATAAGGTGTGACTTTTGGAAAGATGGTCTGTTGGTTGTTTTGCTGTATTCCTGAGCTGTTTCCATGAACTATTAGGAGCTTCTACCAATCAAAGCTCCAATGTATGACCATAACTGGGGTATTGTGAAAAAAGGAGTTCATCAAGAGGCATTTTCCATTCATAAAAGAGAACATTAGTCATTCATCATTTAGTCAAGAACACATCTGTGGTTGATGAACAATACATTTGCAGTACATATTGCAGCTCACACCACATTTTGTAAATAGAAGATCACATTGAGGCATAAAAATCAGATAACCCTTAGCCCATTCACAATTCATGTGTTAGAGAAATTTGAGTAGACATTAACCTAACATTTATGGTCATTTTCAAAACCACAAACACCACAAAAAGAATGCTGGTGAAAAACTGTTTTCTCCTTTTCATGCTCAAGACCCCATTAACATGCCAAACCCATTTCCTGTGCTTCTTAATAAGAGCCAATAAGCACTTTAAATGAACAATAATCACTCACTGGACACATTACACAGCAATGAGAATAGCTGTATGTGGCTGAATTATGCTTACCCATTGCTGTAAGAGCGCACTTAATTTATCCTAAAATGTATTTTTGACTAATGAACCCGGACTGTCTATATAATTATCTGCCATTGCTATGAAAATAGCCATGTTAATATGGCTGCAGTTTTTATTATCTCCCTGCACTTATTCCCACTAGGGGGCATGCTTAATTCAGCGTATTGCCTTAAATAGAGACAGAGCTATGCTGAAAAAACACAAACACAAGTCCAACATCTGAAGAGTGAAACCCTCTAAACACACATGGTCCGGGGGAGTTGCTCAACAAACCTGTTAGTGGATTGCTTGAGCTAATTCTTTACTCTAGTTTACAGCCATGTCCACAGCTGCATATGAGACACTAACAGATTCCGTAGGATTTAAATACAGTACAGATTTGTGTTATCATGCATTTTGTGTTATCGAGATACTGAATACTGTTTCTCAGTTCAGATGATTGATATTAACTTTCACACACTGAACAGATCAGACAGACAGGTGTTGCTATAAATAAATGCAACTTGTTCCACTGGGAGGGCGCCGCTTATTCAAAATTCCATCTGAGACCCCATGAGCCTGAAAATCTGCTCCTGGCAGGTAAGTTGTTCTCTTTTAGTAATAGCTTGTTTCATCCTGCTGTCTCTTTGTGACTTAGAGCTGCAGAAAGGCACAAGGAAATTAATGGCTGTCTGAAAAGAAGAGCATCCCCATTTGCACCTCCACAGCCTAGGTTCCAAAATTTCAGAGGCAAAGCGGCTTGTCAGGCAGAGGTCACGTAAACAGGGTTTAAATGGGGAAGTGACCAAACCTGTCAAAGTTAAGTATTACTAAATAAAACTGAACAAGTCAGCTTCAAGCTGCTATGTAAATTAATGCCATTTTTTAAATTGTAACCTGCTCCAACTTGAAATGTAACATTCTGCACTGCTGTAGAGTAAAAAAAACCCTCAAAGCTTTCTAATAACCCAGTTCTGATCTTCAATAAACAGGGTAGACAAGCACCAAAGGAAGTTAAATGCGATCATATCTGTACTGTCAGGAGACATATTTTTTTTTTAAAAACTATAAAAACAGCAAAAACGTGTCTTTCTTTTTCATTCAGCATATTTTAGAGTGCATGTTGTCACTGCACTGACATAGAGGACCGGGCACCAGTGTTCGAGTGTGAATGATAATGACAAAGCGCCGGAATCAAAGTTCAGTTCATGGGAGATGGAGGTGAAAGGAAGGGGGGATGGCCTGAGGGGGGAGCTGGGATAGTGCTGGGAGGTCAGGAGTCCTCGTTGCCAGAGTCATCATCATAGCAACAGTCTTCGTTATCCTCATCCTCCTCCTCATCGTCCTCTAAGTCCTCGTCATCACAATAGTCGTCGTATAACAGATTGTAGCCATCGTCTGTGGGTTGAACCTGAGTACGGACACAGTATTCGTCCAATGTTACGGGAACCTTCACTCCGTCTCGCTCGGCGTCAGCTTTAGTGGACAATACTTGCTTGCTGTAACAATAAATGTCATCACATTTAATGACACATGACAAAAGGAAATACATTTTCCAATTAAAAAAAACTAAACATTTTAGCAAAGCATGCTCCCTTTATGTGGCTCTAAATTAAAAGCGCCCTATTGATACTTTGCAGTGACATCACGCTGGAGGTGTTCTACATGTGTGTGTATTGGTGAAATGTTCATAAATTTTCAATGCACACATAAGCAAACCCTGTGAAATACACACATTTTCAGGGGTTCGTGTTCAATATTAGTGCTCATAGCTCCGTTTAAATGTCTGATTTTCAACAAAAATAATAAGTGACTAACTGAAGAACAGTTGGCTAATGCTTCTCGCTAGCATGTGACTGTATTGTTATTTGAGAGGGACTTGTTTAACAGCACAAATCAGTTCTCCTGTTGTAGTTCCAACTAAGCTGTGTTAAAATAAAGCTCACATCAAAGTCCAACAAAGCCTCAAACAGAGCTCACAGTTAGCATCATACGCCCAGGGAATGATGACATCAGTTGTAAAGTATCAATATTTTTCTGGTAGAGCGTCCATCACCTGGGAATATTTCACAGTATGGTATTAAATATATCCATCTTGCATTATTGAATTTCAGGCATTTGTACTGCTGAAAAAAATATCTAAGATCTAACATCTAAGTACTTGTTTTCATGCAGATGGATACATTTTATGCCATGCTATGGAACATTCTAGGCAAAGCAACACCTGCATGGAGATGAGGCAGACCCTCCAACAGAAAACTTAAAATCTTAAAACTTGAAAGCTCTGGTTTTGTACTTTCTAGACAATTCATGATATCTAGAATGCTTTTATGTTTACCTGATGATATCTATGTATTCCCTGTCCTTTCCTTTGCTCTCCCTCCATTTGCGGTACATGACTGAGGCGTCAACGTTGGCTGGTGAAAACGTATTGGGCTCATTGAGCAGAGAGATCACGCTGAGTAAGATAGTCCTGAAAAGACACAGACACTCAATGAACACAGGAGGCAGATTAAAATCGAGTAAAGGTGAGAACCAGGAAGTAGAGGGATAAGAGCAGAGAGGTGGAGGTAAGATGAGATGAGGGGCTGAGACTTGAGCACAAAGCAACGAGATGGCCTGAAACAAGGACAGATGGAGACAGAGGGGGGAGGACGGAGGAGGTCTCACAAGCAGCATGTTTGCTCAGACCAGATCCATTTGTCTGCTGTCATCTGAACTCATCTTTCTGCTCAGAAGGCTACAACCCTGTAATAGTATAGTGTTGTGTGGCTTGTCATTGTCTTTGTTCAGGAGGGCATGGTTGACCAATGACCAATGGTTGACAAATAGTATAGTTACAAATATCTTCGTACAGGCAGATTAAGAACTGGCAATGTGAAATTCTGCTATAGAACTATTAGGTTATGTTTACATAACAGGCTTCTGTAGTAAAGATGGTACTTCAGTCTCCAAGAGTGATGGGGGAACAAATTTTAGAATTACTTCTTTGAAAAGAAAAACAAAAGCTGCAGAGATAATCTTTCTATTTCAGTAATAGAGAAAGGATAAAGAACATGCACTTGTCTTGTACAAACATGTACCTGACATTTTGTGTTGGGTTCCACCTTTCTGAGGGCAGCTCGCCACTTTGTGGGTCATCTACAGGCGGATGCAGAATAGAAATGCAAACATCTCCATTCTAAAAGGGTAAAACAAGAGAACATTAAACATAACCCTAGAACCTCCTTATGACTGACACTTTATGTTGCATGAAAAACTACATGTCACCGTATGCTTTTCCTAAAAGGAGATGTACCTTGCACATAAGACAGTTACAGTTTTATCAGTGACTAAAAAGAGATTAATTTCTAGAGTCAGTGTTTAATTGCAGAAACTCTACATGTCTGTTACCTCATAAATGTTGGGATGCCACATTTTGGTGAGGAAGCGGAAGGACGGAGGAGAGTATGGGTAATCAACAGGAAACTTGAGTCGTGCCTGAAAAAAAGGTAAACAGATGAAAACATTCTGAAATACATAATTAAAATGCATTATAAACATTTAACTACGTTACAAATAGAAAGTGTTGGAAAGTAGAACATTTTGTACAAAAAAAAACAAAAAAAATTTTGTTTTTCACAATTTTATGTGTGCATAGGTTCACAAAAAAAATAATAAAATAAAAATCTAATAATTGAAGTTGTATCCTGTATCTCAATTTTAATAAACATGTAATTAATTTGCATAGACCTAATTAGAAATATGTTATTAAACTGTGATATAACGAATAAAAGAAATATTATTATTATTAATAATAGATAAAAAATTCAACTTAATGAGAAAAAAAAATCCAAATAAGGGTATAAAACAATATTTCACAATTGTTGTGGGTAATTTTACAGTCATTTCACATTTGTCAGATACTAAACTTCATAAACCTCATAAACTTATACATTCCTGTAGGGTTGATCATCATCATCAGAATATATCAAATATGAGATACTTCAAAAATACAGATATTCATTTGAGTCAATATTGCCACCTCCTTTCATCAGAACGTAACATCTCTAAAAATAGCAGTTAATAGTAGGAGCATGGACAGGCACATGACAGGGTAAAGTAATACGTTATAGAGGGAGGGGGAGGCAGAGCATGAGGGGCCGCTGGGTACGATATATGCTGGGGGTGTTCTCTACAGCTGTCACCCCAGCCCAAGACAATCCACTCCTTTGCAACCGCGTGCTAGCATTATATGGTCCCATGTTTACAGCACATCCCTTTATTAGCAACAATGTGGCCTGTGTGTATGATCCCTCCCCTTGACCATAAGGTGCTCTATGGCAAAGTTGGGAAGGGGTGCACTAAATACACTGATTACACACACATACGTCAGTCACAGCATGAAGCCTAGTGCTGCTGATCCCTCCCACGCATGCATGCACACATGCATGCACACGAGGAACACTGATGCTGATTTGGCATGCTCAGCTGCTGCTCACTACAGCCGCCCATGGGTAGGAGACACGGTGAGAGTGTGTTGGTAGTAATAGTATAGGAGGAACAACGAGCACTTTAAGAATAAAATCAAATTGTATTGCCATACCCAATAGCAGTCGGCTCCAGTCAAATGAATCTCACGATGGTAGAGGTTATGGGGCAAATTTGGAAACAAAAACCATATTAAGAATGAAAATTTATTTACGTCCAAAAAAGCTAAATAAAAGCAGCAGCATCATGTAGAGCTGGCTAATATGAAAATTTTAAGACCAAATGACAAGGCTCACTGCAGCAGTTACAGAAAAAGAAGCGACATTTCCAATGTAAAGTCAACTGGAAACAGAGTGGAAGGAGCCAGAAGCACCCCCATACTCACTTACTGTTTGGAACATGGCAGCTAGTGGATTAGTCATGTCCAGTTATATACAGTCTATAGGGAAATCACAGTCCACAATGTTTGGATTGGCACCATTGCATCATAAGGAAATGCTGATGCTAGGGATGCAGAAGATTATTCTGTTATTTAATAAACATACATTTTTGCATTACCGAGGGAAAAATGACTGTTGTACCACATAAAATGTGCTTTTTATTTAGAAAGTTTGATTTCATGAATGATCTAGAGCAATGTTAATCTATCAGACCAAGTGAATTGAAGTAAATTAATAACTTTACTGTTTATTTTAATTTGTGTTTAATGATTTCAGTAATTGTAAAATTGTGGTGCTTCATCTCACAAAAATCTCAACTTCACAATTTGATACTGTGACAACTCTTACTGCAGCTCAATGGTCATTAAAGAGCAGTTTTAGACATAAAAATAGTAAAATAGTATTGTGTGTGGTATATTTTTAAGCACACTAAACTCACAAACTAATTTGAGGTTTGTCACTTTTGTTGCTTTGTTGTGCTTATCACATACATTTGGCACACTTATTAAACCAGATACCTGTAGGTGACTTAAAGGGACAGTTTGGAATTTTTGACATTGGCTCACTAGGAAATGAGGTCCTGAGTGTTGGAGACATGTGGAGACACTTTTAAAAATATTCCATCCAGTCCTTGTATTTGCAGAGGTCGCCCGTGCTAGGCTAGCACATGTTCATGGCCACAGTTAGCTTGTCACTGAAAAACAGTCTTACCCACTCCACAAAGCACCCGAAGCAAATCTATTATAACACCAGACTGTTGATGTAAATGTCTGTATCAATGGAATAATGTTTGAAATAAAACTAACCTTGCATCGCATGAATCATCGCATGTTGAGGAACTATTTTCTCATAGCAGTCCGCCGCTGCCAAGCTTTCTATCAGGAAGTACAACTTGCTGCTGCTGCTCACACATAAATCCTTCAAATACAAGGTTGGTTTTACTACTAAAATTATTTTATCGACACAGACATTTACATTGACAGTCTGGTGTTATAATACATTTGCTTCGGATGTTTTGTGGAGTGGTTAAGACCAACGACCTCTGCAAATACAAGGACTGGTTGGAATATTTTAAAAAGTGTCTCCAAATGTCTCCATCACTTTGGCTAACTAGGAAATGAGGCCCTATGTCCAAAATTCTGAACTGTCCCTTTAGTGAATAGTATGGTTTTAAAATCAGATCACTAGATTAGCACAGACTCTTGTGAAAATGCCCTGGTTGACAAGGCCAGAAAAAGGAGGTTGGGCTTCTGAAAGAAACTCAGTCAACACATGATGGGTTGGCAATGATGCAACAGTAACCGACAGATCAACTAACCCTAGCCATGTACAAATCAGAAAGGAGTCCTTCCTGAAGCCCAATGTGAACTATATTGATTTTTATCCTAATCACAATTTCAAGAGCTATTTTCCAAAAATAAAGTCAGGCTTAAAAGAAGCACACATCTATCAGATGTTCTTCAGTAACATTACGCATGCCCAGTGACTGCACTCATGGCCTGTGAGGTCTGGTTTCAGTTATGACATTTTATTGATCACAACAAGCAGCAAGCGCAAGAGATGGCAGCATAGTAGTAGTATTCTGTGATGGATTTAAACCTTGTATACTTTCTAATTCTGAAAAAACAAAACAAAGGCCAGGGTATATCGGGAACAGTAGAATAATCAGGCAATGTTTCTTAAATACAAAATATAAAATAACTGGTCATGCACTAGACTATGGCCAATCAGAACAAAAACTATTCTGTGAATATCTCAAATTTTACACAAAGTTAAAGATCAGGGCATCAGACATTAACTGGTATCAGTTCAAACAAGCTTGCTGCCTATTACTGCTGTTTCCTTAGAGCTGCATGTTCCAACATGCCAACACTGAAATTTATAACACATTAATGATTTGTGTATCAAGAGAGGTTATTTTCAGGTATTTCACTTGAATATGATGTGAAGCACTTTTCTGTCTACAATAAAAACAATGATGTGAACAAAGTCACATTTGGGTTTATGGGGAAGCTTTACAAAAATCCAGAAACGCCATTTGGAAGTGAAAATTAAAACCGATAGGTGATATGCTCTGCCAAGATAGTTTATCCCAAATTATATTTAAAATGACTCTAAACTCAAAACAGTGCACTAACACACACATCTATATAATATATTTAGTCTGTATATTACTATCTATCTATATAGTAACATTTTTAGACATCCACAGCCCTGTTTCACTACAATTCTAAAAAAGATGAGTGTAGTCACACTTTGTGAAGTGCCCTCTTTGCTCTCAAGTGTAAATAAAGCTTCACATCCTTTAGTCTACGTTTCTTCTGCTTGTCTACAGTTATCCTCAGAAGAGTCACGTGATGTTACCATGATGTTTCTATATAAAACCCAACAATGGTCAGATAGAAAAAAAATCTAAGTATTTGATTTTAGAACAATCTGGTCATAAAGACGATCCCTGAGGGCAAACATCCACTTCCATCAACTTACACCTGACCTTAGCTGCATATTTCACACTAAAATCAGTGATCTAGTTTCTACAAAAACAGTGCTTTAGTTTCACTTATCTACCCACTGTTTTTCTGCTACTGGCCCTTTGATTGGTTTACTCTGTACTTTCAAGTACTGCCTGTAGATGACAGCTTTACAAACAGCACCAGACTACTTTTTATGTAGTGAACATTAAGAACGTTGTATGGCTAGTCAAGCTATGTAAAGAGAACACTTTGAACAAAAAAATGCTGATTTAAAGTTGTGATCAGGACCAGAAAACAACTTGATCAGTTTCATAGCCAAAATGAACTAAGGCTTCTAAACCTCTCACACACCTCCTCTTTATCTCCGTGATCTCAGTGTGGACATGTTCCCTCTTTTCCCTGTCCAGCTCTAGTTTCCTTGTGACACAGCCAGAGGGGGGAAACATGACTCCTGCAGAGGCCCAGAACAGGCACGACCCAGCCAAGCCCTGTGAAACTGGGTTGGGTCTGGTGCTATGTAACCCTCCTCTCACACATGCACTCAAGTACAAGGCCAATGTCAGCTATTCAAGTGCACGCTTCGTCATAACCTAATAATCGCCTATAGAGGGAGCAGAGCACTATACTAACTGCCCAACAACGTACTAGATGAATGTTAACAATTTGCACAGAGATGGTACAGAAAGACTGATTCCTGGTTGAATAAAGTAACAATTTAACAATTAGGCCAGAGGTGTTAATGGTTAAGACAGGAGAGTAGAAATTACTAACAGTCACCAATCTTAACTGGTGACAAGTTGGTTAGTAGACACAGGTGTATAATAGTAAACAGAAAGTTTAATTAAATCATTACATTTAACAGTTTTAACAGTTAACCATTGTAATAAAAGCAAAAGACAGTTGTCTCTTTTCGAACAGTGTGTTATTAAGATAAATATTGAGCACTGCTGTTTGAGAACAGTAGTACTATTTGTGTGCCAGATATAACTAAACGGCACATGTTGTTGTTCTTTGTACTGATTCACCACAAGCAGAGGAGATAAAGGCCTGCTGATTTCGAGGAGTGTGACCTAGTTCTGATGGTGTTCGTGCCCCAACATGCCTGGTTCTAAACTTTTAACAGGAGACATTTAGGCAGTTAAGCATAATACTAGCATATTAGCAAGAACCAACTTTGATGAGCTGGAAAAACAAGTCCTGACAATACAAGTAAGAGTGTGAAACTGTATAAAATGTAAAATGTGATGACAGCAATAAAATGCTATGTTTTATTATAGAGCCTGATCTTATATTAATTTTGCCATCACCTTTGGGAGTGCTGACATTAAAAAGTAAAACACATGAAAAGTGTCAAATCAGAGCTAGTATTGTGGCACAAAGAAGTGTCTCCTCTCTCACACAGGCCTTGTTAAAATGACTTAGTCTTTACTCATTGGCGTAGTTTGAAGTGAGCACCACAGCCTGAAAGCCTGACTCAGCCAAGTGTCATGTGACGTCACGGCCTGTACAGGCAGCTGCCCTGTGTCGTAGCAGTTTGTTTGCCTCACTGGGGAAGATAGGGCGTTACTTTGAATAATAATGAAAACTGGTTGGATAGAAACCTAGCATAGAACAATGAGCTACAGCCCAGCGATAGATTTCACAGGCAGGCAGAGCATTCCTGTCCACACAAAGGAATTCTGTACACAGCAGCAGCCTCACAGAAGCAACATTTTCAAAGCTGAGGAAAGTGGTTGTGTCCATTCTAAAGGATGGCCTTGTAGAAAAAAAAAAAAAAAGTATGCCAATGAGTCACAAAAATGCCCTTTATCATTAATTTCACTATGCTGAAAGAAGAACAGCTTATACAAATAAACAATAATACATAAATTTTAAATAATTTAAAACAAAAGTTGTAACAAAATCATGATATGTTTGGGGAAATCAATTACACTACTGCATCTCACCTTCTGCAATAGCCTATGCGTTTTGCAACATCTGAGAAATGTGGCAAGAGCACTAGTTCCACAGTACAATGAAGAGCTTATGCTCTGGCCATAAAGTAATACACAAAATTACTCATAGATAAAGCCTATAACCTATACAAAAAACTACAACAACAGTAAAATCATCATACAATATTGGCTAATGTAATATTAACGTCTGGTGTCACTGTAACACCTTAACTTTAATATTACATGTGTTACAGAGACCGAAGTCTTGAGTACAAGCAGAAGAGACTTTTTATAGCTTTTGAGTCAAACCACTGAGCTACAACAAGTTTAATATTTTAATTACAGTAAAAAAAAAAAAAAAAAAAATGACTTAAGAAGAAGCCGTACGTCATATAATGTAGTTAAAACTACAAGCATAGTTTAAATCAAATTACTATGTAAAACGATTGATTTTAAGGAACTACCACATTTTCAGTCATTAAAAAAATAATAATTAAAAGTTATTTTCATTAGATACATATTATGAAGCAGATTTATCCTACCACATTTCTACGGGATGTTAAAATTAGGGGTGTGTGAAAACATTTAGCTGGGGGAAATGAACCCCACTTTTCTCGCTTAAGAACAATAGAAAGGCTGCTAGCTAACATTAGCTACTCACCTTAAAATAACCACCCTCATAGTGGGTATTAGGGGGTCCAAAAATTGCCACTTCCCAGTTGTACATGTCCGATTCGTCCACCAAAGTTACTTTAAAGCCTTCTACTGGCTCGTCTTGGAGACTTTTCATCTCCAGCATAAGTGCTTTTTGGGAACTGGCTACATGATGATGTTGATGTCCATGTTGAGCCATAGTCCCAAACGGTCTGAATAAAAATATCACCAACCCACCACGGCTGTAACAATCAAGAGGGAAATGTTAGCCTCGTACAAACAACACCTGAAGAGCCGTGGTCACGCTGCTATCCGTCTGATCGAGCCAAACAGGATCTGAACCGCGACTGGTCTTTATTTGGTCAGAGCTGAAGCGTCTTCCTCTGTCTGTTGTTGTGAACAATTCCGGAGAGCTCCTCCAGTTATTGACGGCCTGGCCCTCTGCACTGTCAACTCACCGCCGTGTGTTTCGGAGTCACTTCCGCTCAGTGTTTTATAGTCAAATCATGTTATTCTCTTATCGATACCCGCTTTACACTCTTACGAATTTTAATGCCTTGTTTTATCAGGTGATGCGGGAACTATCTGTACTCCATTAACTCGGGGGGGGGGGGGAATGCATTTGCGTTTTATTTTGAAGAGCAGGAAATACCTCAAAATTAACGCCACAGCTTTTCATAGATATTCCTAGATACCTTGATTGGTACAGAAAATCGGACTAAAAGACTTTTGCTGATGCCAAAATTAAAATTACTAACCTTTTAACCAGCTGCTGGCATTTCGGCCTGCCGTGTGGGTGGAATGCTAAAAGACAAAGCATTCTGGGTAATTGAGTTTTTTTCCTCAATATTTGTAATCGGTCTTAAACACGTTTCGAGCTGTTGATTTGAGGGAACTGCTGATATATTAAGGGAATACACACATATGCCACATGTCAAAATGGAGTCTTCATTCAGTTTACTTACCCTGTGCTAGATGGATGCCTGGAAAGTGCAACCACACCTTCACATTTTGCATTCTCTTATTTTTATTCGGCTTTAATTTGCCTCACATACTATTACAGGTGTTTAATGTATATGTGTAAAAAAAAAATCAAGACAGTTTTTTAAAGAGTATATTTCATTGTCACAAGCCAAAATTTGTCAAATAATTCACTACAACTGAACCAATATATGTAAGACGGGTTTCTGCCTCTCAGTACACTGCATCCTTTGACCTGCTCTAATGGGCATATCTGAAGTCCTGTGCCCTCAGTGACAAAGCTCCCAAAGAATACCCACTTTAATTGACTCCTCTCAATGTTTAATAATTTAAAACATCAAATTATATATTTTATAATCAGCTGAACTCAGATTGGATAAAAACAAGTAAACATAAATAGGTTATGAATGCCAAAATGGAATGAGACTTTAGTGTGTTTTTATATGGAATACATTTTGAAATTAAATAGAATATTTCTTATCATGCACTACAGAAATTCAATCCGCCATGGACTGAAAAATAATCAAAATTGGGAGTGAAATTGGGCGAGATGTAATGTTTAATTTCCAGATCAAAAATTATGTTCGAAAACCTCCTTACATAATACACATGTACTGACTTTCTTTAAAAGTATAGGGGATCTGTATTTACATTTAACTGCTGAATGTTACTGATTATAATATGTGTGTATGAAGATGTTCAATTTTAGTTCAGCATTAGCTACTACAAAACTGTATTGTGCTGGAATGAGAAAGGACATTTCTGGCTGCATAAATACAAATTGTCATTTATGACCGACAATACAGAGGGCCAAACAAACTACAACAGGATAAGAGGTGGTCTATAATGCCTGGTGGTGTGCCTGGCCCTTAGGATAAGTGGGCTTTTATCTTATGGTCCCACACTTTTCAAATTCTGAACTTTGGTTTATCTCTGCCCCAAAATGCACTTGACGACAGCTATGTTGTCTCAAGACAGTATGACAGTAAGTTTGAGTACCGATTTTCAATGAAGGGCCATTCAGGAAAATAGAAGGTCAAACGTTTTTCAGGCATACAAAAGAGCACACCCTGATGATTGGGAATAGAAAGAGGCGACGCAAGGGGAGGACAAAGGCGCAGGACAGAAAGACAAAACAAACAAAAACAAACTTGAAAAATAAATGTAAAAACACAATTTAACGATCAACAGTATATGTTCAGTTGTCCACGTCACATGACAGTCGCACTCTGATCTGTAAGGAAGATACACAGGAGAAAAGCGTGGATGTCAAACATCTTGAGACCAAGTCAGAGCTGGGGAGACAGTGGAGACAGTTCAAAAATGAGGAAAACTGAAAGTGCAGAGTGTACACAGTGAGCCTTCACACCAGGCTCAGTGCGCAGAAAACAGTGATGGGGCTCTGAAGTCACAAAGAGGCCCAAAGAAACAATGCAGTGAATCTGATGATGGGGAAATAGAGACTGGACATGCCAGTTGCAGTGTTGAACATGATTATGTAGCTTCACCAAAAGATGGCAGGGCGCGAGGGGGCTCAGGGCCTGACGCAATCAGCACTGAGAGAAGGTCTGCTTGATCTCATCCAGCACATTCCCAAGCAGCGTCGGCTCATCACATTTAGCGTCAATGGATACAGTCTGACCAGACTGAGAAAAGAAAGGCAAATCTATAAGCATTTGATTTAAAACTCATACATGTTTCTGTCACACAAGTTTCAAATGGGGTCTACTTACACTTTTAACTAGCAGACAAACATGATGACCCTGGATAGACCGGCTGTACATTGAGGCACAGGAGTCAATCCTTTCCACAACTTATCACAAATAAGTAAATCATAATTAGTTATATATCATTCTGTATGTATTACATTATATAAACTGACATCCACAATTCATTACCAGAAAAATGGTGATGGAAGCAGATCCTGGCTAGTAGATGATGGAAGGGCATGTTCACACCCTCCAGTCTGACAGAGCTGCTTTTAAGGTCACCAGACTCTAACAGTTTTGCAAATGCATCACTATGTGAAATAAAATAAAAATAGTATGTTGTAAATATTATACTGAACAAGTAAATATGGAAGATGAAAAAGATCAAAATGTGTACAACCTGTAGCAAGGAGTAGTGATAAGGTATGAGGTGCAGGTAAAGTGCAGTTTAAAGTCCAGTTTTTCATGAGTGGAGGACTCCTCATTCTGAAACACCACAACACAGGTACTGAATTCACACAATAATATGAAGACTTTTTTTTTTGTTTACAACAGAATAATTATTAAGTTGCCATGATAGTTGATTGAGAAGTATGTTATAAGCAGTATTTTACATTTTACTGACCTTAACAATAAATGTGAGGGTTCCCTTCAATTTCTGTGGCATTACAATGCTCTGCACAGCAAACACAAATCGTGCCTCATTCGAAACCCCTGAACAGAAAAAAAATGTATATAGTTCATATAGCGTTTATGTGGACAATAGCTCCAACTGAAAAATATGCAAATATATGTGACTGACCAGGTGGGAGCTGGAATGGAACAACTAGACCATCGTGAGGACTGGACCCTTCCGGCCTTTGTAGTTTGGAGTTGAGAGAGTCCAGGACATTGAACTCCATAGATTTTAAAAAGCTTTCACACTTGTTTTCAAATATTACTGACACCACAACCTGACTTCCATCCTGTAGGTTTCCTTGAATGTCATACACCTAAAAAGGAAAACAGAGCCAATGAGTTTGTATTTAATCCTGAGAACACTCAAAAGTGTCTAATCTTCTCCAGTATCCAAGTTCTGATTGCAACACCACAGTCCAATCCTATCACAGGAAGAAACTTAAGTGTTAGTTGCAAGACCCTTTGGCAACCACAGATCACACAGAAAAAAGGAGAGTAAAAGAATAGCAAATCACACTTAAATGATAAAAAAAAATACCTCATCAGCATCCTCCATCATCTTAAAAAAGAAAAGGAAATTGTTCATTTATACAATAGAGTTTTTCTTTTCTAAATGACCTAAATTATAAATGTTACAGTTACAACTGATTTTATTTCTATTAACTGCTTTTGGGTATTAACTGCTAGCAGACTAGTAAGATCACCATGTTACCTTTTATTGTATTGAAAATGCTACATTTGCCAAAATTATTATTAACATTTTTACACTTTTACAAGTCTCCTCTCCATTTGCTTTCTGCATGGAGTCACTCTACCTTCAGAGTGCCATCACTGCTTGCATCCCACTAATGAAACTACTGCACCTCACATCAGGTTGTTGTGTACAGTTTTTTATAATGCTTATGCATGTTTATCTAGAATTGTAATGTGGGAGAATGGATGACGTAGGCTTGTGGGCTAAGTAGTGAACAGAATCTTACAGCTAACCTTAAAGAGTTCACATAGGGCCGGGGAGAGATTGTTAAATTGCTGAAACATGCATGGATGACATCTAAAACCTTATTAACATTACAACATGGCAGAAATCTTTTAAAAATCTATTTTGAATACTACCCCTACTTAAAAGAAAAATGTGCAAGCTGTATCCAGCAACAAGGTAATGTGGCTATATAATATAACTTAGTTTAACTATGGATCTAAACCATTTCAGAAGATACATTACAAAATAACAATATTATAATCACTCAATCTACTTAATGCAAAATAGTTACAGTCAAAACTCACCATCTTAATGTAGGAGTTTTCTGCCAGCAGGTTGTAATTGGACATGGGCTGAAACAGAGGGAAGGGCAGAAAAAAGGTAAAAGTAATGTAATCTAACATTTGCAGAGATTTAGATGATAAACTTACTCAATTACTAATTACTGCCCATTTATCAATCTGACATCAATACAACACATTCACAGTAGAGTTGTCAAAAGTATCAATATCCACTACTAATTTCAACAATTATCCATACTGGAAAAAAAAAAAAGACAAAGTTTGACCTTTTCTGAATAAGTTTATATTGTCACAATCAATTTCAGAACTAGTATATGATCAGTTGGTAATATAAAAAAAAAACAACATTACCATTGCTATTAAATAAAATAATCTAAAATTTCCAATATCTCACCGGCAAAGGCTCCTCCTCTTCTTCTTCCACTGTGCCATTCTGCACAGACTCATCTCCTGCTGCATCGCGGTGGTGATGATGATGATGGTGGTGTTTCTTCTTTTTTTTCTTATCCTTCTCCTCCTTTTCCTTTTTCTGCTTCTTCTTCTTGTGTTTAGAGGATTTCTTTTACAAAGAGATAGACAGTTTGGTTAGTTCAGTGTTCTTGCTGACTATGTGATAACAATAAAGTTTTAGTCATTTGAATGATACATTTTTAATTTTCATAAAAGCTGTGAATTGTAAGCCAATTCTTAAACACTTGATACTTTAGCTGACTGTACAACATTTCATCAGGTCAGTGCTCACCCAAGACTAGAGATAGACCGAGATATTGGGCTGATATTTGTACTTTTTAGCAAATTGGCTATGAGTCTTAAATTTCCAGTACAGAATATAGTATCGGTGCACTTTTTAGGTAGTAGGTTGGCCAAAACAAAGCTTTTTGGAACACTTTAAGGCAAAGAGATAGCAGCACAAAACTTCTTTCAGGTTTGTGGTAAAAAGACTGTAGGTGAGTTGTTGTAGATTAAAAGGGCATAATTTGGCAAAAATTCTCAAAATCAGCCCAAAAATGTCATCAGAGTTTGCTCTAGATTTTAAAGTATCAACAAGGGCCATGAAAAAACCTATATCGACACAATCACACTCATTCAGATCATTACTTTTTATACTTTTATTTAACTAGGACAGTACTTACAGCCTCCTCTGTTTCAGTTTCTTTGGGTTCATCGGGCTCAGAGTCTGGGGCTGGAACAGAGGCAGCCTCAGCAACAGGGGATACTTCTGCTGCTACTGACTTGGCTTCCTGTAAACATAGAAACAAATACTTTTAGAGGAAAAGCTGCTCCTATAAGTAGAACTGTGTGAAGTCTAATTAGTCAAAAAAACAAAACAAAAACAAAACCAAACAAAAAAAAAAACAAAAAACTATGAATCAAAGTTAACACAATATGACCAATTTTGAGCTCAAACTTATAGTGGTTCCCAACCTTTAATTCACATGCATACCGCTTTTTATTGTATCATTATTTTGTGAAATATCTCATGCTAAAGTGTGACAATTTAAATTGTACATGAATAATTGTATTAGTAAAAGACATAATACAGAAATGTATATATTTAGCTAAAGGGCTGCACGTTGGTTGGGAAACACTTAATGAAGATCAAGACAAAAATTTGTAAAAATAAATTTCTTAAAATTGTACTGACAATCAACATGAAAAAATAGATACATGATATCCAATTTACTTTTGCCCCTGACACACCTCAACAGTGAGCAAAAATAAGCAGTGAAAGTGAATGGCAACCACATGAAGAATAATATAATAAATCCACAAAGGCATGCACTGAAAAAGTGAAAGGCTGAGAATGAGACAGGGAAAGTGCTTAGTGACCTGTAAAGAGAGGAAATCGTGTCAAGGGTAAAGAATGACTACAGAAACACAATGCATGAAGGAAATACTGGACCCAACAATGTGATCAGACCGATAAGCATGAATCATGGGGGACAAATTAATGTATTTTAAGAGAAGAGGGGACGTGTCTCAACCTGGGTGTTAGAGGGCACTGGAGCATTTGAGAGCCAGAAATCCAGATCCGAAACCTGGAAAATCAAGGGAGGAGTGCGAGGAGGTGAGAGGGACAGGCTCAAACTGGTTCTGCAGCTTATACTATTCATGAAAAGGAATACAGAGATTACAATGTTCTGTTTCATGAATAAATGTATCAAGTATTTGGCAAGAATCTACTCAGTCAGCTCAGAGGGAATGATACTTGTTAACTAAAAGTCAGTGAAAGGCAGGCTGGAGACAAGTGATGAAAGTCTTGAGTTAATGATAATGGTCCATGCCATCCAAATGTGACTCGTGTGTGCATATTAAAAAGTGCACAATTAAACTTTTCTGGTGAGAAGGTCTGTCATCTATTTGCCTGGAATATTTGAAAGTATGTTATTAAACTATCTCCATGGAGACAAGCAGATGATGGAACCCAGTTAGTAAATTTATATAGTTTACAGCATCTACAACTTTTCATTGTGTGATAATGGTCGTTCAAAACACACTGTCAATTTATATATAAATGGTAATGTTGTTGGTGATTTTCCTTGTTATTAATATTTACTAAGAGACTGTACCTCTGGCTCAGTGGTTGTGGGTGGTGCTGACACTTTACAGACTTCCTCGGAGTCAGCCGCAGGAGCCTCAGCCTCTCCTCCAAGGAGATCCTCTTCCTTTTCTTCATGTTTGTGTTTTTTCTTCTTTTTCTCCTCTTTGCTCTTCTGTTGATAACAGATATTCACCAGTGTCACAAATATGCTATATACTCACACACTCACATGAACAGTTAAATGGACCTACCTTTCTATCTCTCTCTTTATCCTTCTTTTTTTCCTTCTTGTCTTTGCTGCTTTTCTTTTTGGGCTCTATTGAAGTGCTCTCTGCCTCTCCATCTTCAACTGGGCTTTTTGAGGATTCAGCAGCACGATGCGACCTGACAGGCAGCTTTTCACTGTCTGCGAGGGGCCTAAAAATAAAGTCAATCTCAGAGTTTAGTGCTTACCAAGAGAACAGCCTTTTGTTATAACTGTGTAACTATGATAACAGGACTGTAATAATTGGTTAGGGTTAGTGTGCACTTTTTCAACATCATTCTTCATGCAGCATTACACTGTATTAAAAACATGTCTCAAGAAGTGCAGCCAAAAGTCATCATTCGATATCATAAATTAAGCCATTCCTGAATTTAACTGTTAACATTTGCTTCCCACAGTCTGAAAATACAAGCATTAGAGACCCCTACTGGTAATTCACTAAACTACAATGTAATCACTAAAGAATGCAACTGGAAGCATCATTTGCAAAAAAAAAAAAATAATTAAATTTAAAAAAAATTACAGTAACAAATACTAGTCTATATCCTAGACAACCCCCAGATATGTGGTATGTATCTTTACATGTAATTGGTTAAAAAAGAGGAGACAATCTAGTTGAGCATTGCTGTAATGGGGAAGTGGGTAATGAAAAAAAGAGAAGAAAGATTTCATTCACTAAAAAAGCAGATAAAACAGCAGAGCCGCAGCAAAGAAGGACCTACAGTACAAGAGTTAAGCTAGCAGCTTTTAGTGAGTCAGATCAGCAGGGAGAAAAAGGAGAAAGGAAAAGGAACAGAGCTTTATCCTAATGGAGGAGAATCGGAGCCTGCATCATGAGGCGAGGGTAGTACTCACCTGCGACCAGCCATTTCCAACAAACTGTCCACATTGGAAAGAGGAAATAAGTGGGTGTGTGTGCGCATAGAACAGAGGAAGCAAAGAGTACAAAGTTGTAAGAAAAAGCAGGAGTAACAAGGGCCCAATCCCATCCTCAGTGGCACCGCTCACGGTGAGGTTAGAAGAGCCATGATGTATATTGTATGCATTTTCATTATGTTAAAAGTTCCTTATTTGTAGAGACCACATTTGTAATTAAGACTCACTTGTCCAGGTCGATATCCAGAGCTTTATGAGGGTCATTCGGATCCTTTTCATCTTCATCACTTGGTAAGGCATTCTGGAAGAGCATGCCAATATATTCTGTCAAATCTAACTCTCTGACAATATACTGTACATGTAAAGATACATTCAAACATTGTCACATTAAACGCCATGCAATAAATTAACAATACATTTTAACATAATTCAGTGGTGGAAGAAGTACGCAATTTACTTAAAGTACAGATACTGGAGCAAAGAAAATACTCAAGTAAAAGTAACACATCAAAAGTATTAAAGTACCCATAAGTATTTTGTGAAGATTTTGAAATTTTATAAAGCTTCAAATGTACTGTTCTTAATAAATATTGCTGAATTTTGTTCAACAGAAACAAATCCAGCTGCTTTATGTGTATACTTTAATATTAACTATGGATGTGTTAAAAAATAAACTTTTCTGCAGGTCTCAACCTATAAAGTTCAAAGTGTCCACCATAGTGCTTAAGTAAATTAGTGGTACTAAATTGATACCATCTAACTGAATGGGGGTGACTCAATGACCCCATTGAGACATGCAGAAAAAACTAAGTATGGGGTTGCTGGACATGGCAGGTTTACCTCTGGCATCTCCTCTGTTACAATGTCCACCTGGTGCGCAGGTGTGATGTCCTCCTCGCTTTCTGGACCTGAATCGTGCTTCTTTCCTCGTCCACTCCGTTTTTCTTTCCGCTTTTTCTTTTCCTTCTTCTTTTTCTCTGCCTTTTCCTTCTGTCGTCGTTCCTCCTCCAGTTTCAAGTACTGTTCAGACATTGGCATACCTGCCAATAAAATGTAGGCCACTTAAATGAGATAGACTGGGAAAAATATAGATAGGGTAACTAGCTGTTGTAACAGTAACTAAATACATATTAAAATAAAATAATTCACAAGTATAATGTCCCACCTGGAACTTTGAGAGGCACACTAAGATCGATCTGTACGACTGGAATGTGCTCCACTCCAGGGGCCTCCTGATATACCTTGTAATGTAAGAAATATTTACTTACTTACTTCTATACTATATTTCACAAAACACACAGTCAACATTAGTAGTTGTTATTATTTAGAAAATGAAGAAACAAACCTTTTGAGAAGATGGAGAGGCCTTGATGTAAAATGGATTATTGGCTTGCTCTTGCTTTCGTGCTTCTCTCCTCTAGAAACAATAGCAAAAGCAACATGCATTACCGACCCATGAATGATAATTATGGCTTAATGATTTTCAGAAAGTATTCCACTCTCAGGAATGTACAGCCATTTATAAAACAACATGGTCTCCTTTTGGAAAGAAACAAAAACAAAACTATAATTATTGACCAGCATACCCTAGCCAACTCCTTCTCGTCCACCTCCGTGTGGCGGGGGCGGGAGTGTTTGGGCTCTTCCTTGGCAAATATAGCCTTGGGCTGCTCATCCTCAGACTCGCTCTCAGAGGGAGGTTCATTTATCCAGGCATCCAGGTCCAGGCTGAAAACAAAAACAAATACTGACTTTTCTAAACAGACCTCCAATGTCTATGTGAGTTTATGAAAGGAGGACGTACCCTTCAGGAACAGGCACTTTCTTTTGTGCCTTTGGAGCAACAGGATTGAGTTCGCCAGCAAACAAAGCACTGACCTCTTCAGCTACTTCCACATCTTTCTGTTGCAGTTTCTGGATGTACTTAACAAGTTGTAGAATGCATGAAGCCTAGTGAAAAATGCATGTATTTGACTAGAGGATAAGCATTAGACTTAAGATAATGGACTTTACAGTATAGTAACTTACCCTCTCTTGCACCTCCAGGTTGGCGCTCTGGACAAATAGTGGTAGTCTGTCAATCATTAGCTGGATGTTTTCCTGAGTGGCCGTGCTGTCAGTGTTTCCTTCCTGGCTCTTCAGCACTGTGGCAAAAAGTTTAGCTGCATTTTGCACATACACTGCCTGGATGTGACCAGGAAGAGTGGCCACTTTTGGTCGCAGCATTGCCTCAAGTGTTTGAGCCGGATTCTCCAGGTGTCTGTTAAAAACAAGTAAAAATGTAACTCATTCAAATGTTCCAGCAAACACATTAGCTTATTTGCAGTAATGTTAGATATACATACTCTGAAAACTCTCCACATATCCATGCAGCAGCATACAGAACTTCACAAATACCATTGCGCTGCATGTTGCCAGTCAGGAAGTGGGCATTGTCCAGGAGCATGGCCATTTGAGCAACAGCAAAGACCCGAATGGCCTTAACTCGAATGGCCACGTCCAGCATCTGAGAGGCGATGAGATGGCCATGCCGTGTTCCCTCTAACCGGGTCAGTTCCACCAGAATACTTATGTACCTGAGAACAGAGATCACATATTTTAATTTAACAATAAACAAACAAATAAATAAATAACCAAAGAGCCAGTTCACATACATACCATTCAAAGTTGGTGATGTACTGGTAGTTGCTCTGGCTGCAGATATCAATGATCTTAGTCAGGAGTTCATCTCTGTAGGTGGTTCCCTCTGCTTTGTCCACATGCAACATCAACTTTTTCACAATCTCCATCAAGTTCTTCTTAGACACCTGTAGAGTCAAGTATAGAAAAGTACTGAGATTATTTCAGTCCAGACACAACAGAATAGTCATATAATTAAAGACTACAAACCATTCCGTAGAGAAGATCCAGAGCTCTGAGGCGGATGGACTCGTCTTTGTCATCAAGACACTGGAGGATGAGGTCTTTGTGGGACTGCACTGATTTGGGATGGGTCTTTAAGATCTTTGACATGGCCAAAAGGCCCAAGTATTTCACTGGAGAAACACACACATATGTGGCTCAATAACAACATAGCAGTACACTTAGTTCTAAGATTTGTATTTCAGTGTAATGAAAAACCTAAAATATGGTATACAAAGGCATGTAGAAACATGTAGAGAGCATATTGGAACATGCTGGACTTAACAAATATTAATACTTTTGGCTATAAACATAAACAGTAACAAACAATAACGTGTGTTTGAAAAAAAGATGAATAAGTATTACAAAATTATAAAATACATGAAATACAACACAAGCAACACAAAAGCACAACTGAAGTGAACACACACAAAAACACAGGACAGACATAGACTGGAACATCAGGACCCTCATTAGTCCAACAGTCTGCGCTCATCTCAGTCTCTTTCACCAAGAAAACACTTATACAGACTGCTGAAGATCTATTGTGGCTCAATCAAATGTTAGACCTCCTTTTAAACAGATTATACTCAGAAGTGAGCTTGGGCTCAGGTGGGGCTGGACACTGCAGTAAGGAACAGCTAAGTTGATCTCAATGGAAATGGAGGTAAAATGAGAAAATACACAAAATATGCTCTTAGCCAATGTCTGTGCTTAAAAACAGAGCACTGCATTGAGTTTCTCTGGAATACATTGTGAAAAACAGATCACTATTTTAAATATATAAATGCAAATGTTTTACTTACTAGTACAAGATGTCAGTTAAATTTAACCATATACTGAAAGATGCGCCAGTCTACTACTACATCTAGCTAGGCCACAAACACGACTAACTATGCATGTGGGTCCAGATAACTCACATTCAACTGTCGTATCAACATGTTAAATAACTTTTGCACTGGCCATTTTCAGCCCATGCTCACTGATTTTTTTTTTTGGGAGGCGGGTCACATACAAATTTCTTGGATGTGAAGTAGTATTGCTCGAGTTATCAAGAGCCAGGGTTACTAAGTCGTTGCCATCTAAGTGGGACTGCTCCGTAGTGAGAAACACACAGACAATGAGAAAATGACACACTGCAGGCATTGACAGAGGGCTCACAGTTCTGGTCCGAGTCTTCAATCAGGATTCGCAGTTTCTGAACACAGAGCTAAGAAAGAACAGAAAAAGGGAAGAACGGACAACCATTAACAACACAGCAAGCCTTTCCACACCAGTTTTATATTCTTATTATTATCAAAGAACACAAGTCATACTGACAAAGTGTGTAGAAAAATAATGCCAGATTTTTCATGCATTATTGAGTCACAAGGACATAACAAGAAAGTCATGAGGTTTGCTAGTCCTTCTGTGACTAGAGATGGGAGAGGTATTGACAAATTGATAGCCCTGGGGATGTGCTAAATTAGAATATCATTCATATTCATGTCCTTACAGAATTCATACAGAATACTAAGTATAATTACAAAAATTTGAATGAACAAACATGTCTAGTGCACTCTCCAAACAAGGGTATAAAGTGATTCTTTTGCAGTTAATTTTACAGTCCATTCACAATTGCTGTATTTGAACTTCAACCAATACAAGTACGCACATTTGAGCACATTACTGATGCACTATTAAAACACCGTCTAAATATCAGTAACAGAAATACAGACATATTCATTTCTGTCAATATCACCCACCACCTACTCAGATTATTGATTTTTGTTTTAATGAAAGAAAAAAGACCCCAGTGAAAACATGCATATTGAACTGGAGTGGAAAGGGTTGATAAGGGGTACAATACATACTGGAGGGGGCAGGCTTACCTGGATACTAGCACTGTGGTTAGGCATCCCAGACGACAAGGAAATCAACACTGAAGCACCATGAAAAACACAGTTACATTTAGTAATGCAAGAATACAATATTGCAATATTTGCAGAAGAGTAGTACTAACCTGCAATTACTGTGTTGACACATTCATATAGCAGGGACATGGCGGAGGTACTAATGAAAAGAAAATACTTGTTTTTTATAAACATGTACTACACAGATAAACCACTGTTTCTCTGCTGTTTCTTTTTATTCTGTACTGACTATAAATTTGTGAATTTCATATGTGTCATATGCACTGTATTTGTGTATTTGATTGTCTGTGCACCTTTCACTTCATGCCCAAGTCAAATTTCATCTGGTGGGACAATAAAGTTGATCTTATTTTATCTTATCTTAGTATGGAATAATACTAACCTGTGAATTAAATTGGTCAAAGGTTCAATTAGTTTCTTCCCCAAACGTGGCTCAAGTGGTGTTAGAGCTCCAAACTGAAAAAGGAGTTTTCTTTTAATGTACTGAAATAAACAACAATCACCAATTCACTGAAAGTTACTTACCAACTTGATAATCTTAATAAGAACCCAATTATTTGTAGAAGAGGTCATGAGTTTAAAAAAGAGTGGGGCCAGAGACAGGTAGTTTTTAGGATTCCTTCGGGCCAGTTCACAGATGACATTCACAGCTGCTGACTGAACTCCTATGAAAAATAAAAGAATGCATGATATTTAAAAAAAAAGGTATATAATTATTACAAACAAGTCTAAATTACACTTTTATATATCACGTTACATAGTACTGTCTATACTGTCAAAATAGTTGTCAGTTTAAAAATCTTTGATTTATAAGAATTATATGGGCATGTTTGTGGATCCAATCCTGAACAAATAAATACAAGGGGCAATATTTGTGGATTACGTTTCAAAATGGGTAAATCTTCCATAGTTATATAGGCCCCTGCCATCGGTCTGAAACTATGGCACCAAATTATAAACATAAATGTTTTAAGAAGATAGAAGTCATGTTATGGTCTATGGAACAACAATAGATTGTGATGGTTGATGAGCCCCTGGCAGAAGGCACAAAAAGGCCTTCCTTAATCTCATATTCTCAGAGTCTGAATAATTTATAAGGCTCAGGTGACAGAAATAATGCCACAGACTCCAAAGGTCTCTAGGTTCTAGTGCAACCGTACATCTTCATAAGACCAAACTGCCTGAAATACAATATATACTACTAAATATAATACTAAACATTTGTCCACAAAATGGAAGGCCTAATGCCAGGCCTGAAGAGGATACCTGGATCTGGGTCCTCTAATTTCTCCTTGAGTCTGGGAAAGGCCGGCCTCAGGGATTCTGGGTATTTAAGGAACACCTTGTACATGATCAATACTGCCTTTTTTCTAATGTAGGGTTTTGTATGAGACATCTAAGAAATACAAAAAAAAAAGCAAGTCAGCTGTGGTTGGGCAGTTTCATCTGATTTGAAAATATGTTATGATGAACTCACAAGAGTCATAATGTCATTGGCCAGATCTCGGGCTAAGTCAGGAGTCACAAAGCAGGAGAGGCCAGTAAGGGCGACACCTGTGTCATACTGGTTAGGACTGCTCAGATCCTGAGGGATAAAGGTATGAAATTAGAAATAAGTTCAGAGAAGCAGGCACAAAAAGCACAACTGACCTTTCGAATTTGGTTAGTCGTCAGCATAATGACATCTGTGCTCTCATGAAAGCACTGTGAGGCAGCCAGGTAACCAATCCTCTGTAGAAATAACCCAGTGATGCTTTTGTTTGCATTTATACATATGTATACATTGCCACCTCCATACAATACATTTGAATGGTTCTAAACTTTACCTTGTATGTAAACTTTGAGGAGCTCATCACTTCAACGATGTTGAATGCTGCCCAGCTGACGTCATAGCCGAGCATTTGAAGCTGGAAAAACAAAGTGGTGGTTATTAAAAAGAGAAATGATGAGCCCTTTGTGTGCACAGAAAGGCCAAATGATTTTGGCTCAGAAGCTTTCACTTTCAGTCCAAACTCAGAGCACCCAAGCAATAAAATCGGAGAGCCAGGTTAAAAATAGAATCTGTGCTACCGCTTTCATTTAATTTATACAGAAGTGTCTAGGTACTGCTGTGGGTTGGATTTGGGTTTGCGAGTACAAGCTTGTGTACCACCTTGTATAATATTTTGATGAGAGCAAATCAAAGAGCAAATTAATTCTGCAAATTGATGTTTGAACAGCTAAATAATTAAGCTTGTTGCCTTGAGACAGGTACAGCCTGCAGCCTGCAAGACCTGCATCTACGCGTACCAGTGAGACAGACAGTGTGTAAATCAGTAAAGTGTCCAAAGGTCTTACATAGGTGAGTTTGCACACAGCATTGGCTTTGACAGCGATGTTGTCCTGCTTGAGCTCCTGTTTGATCTCATCGATGCATGTGGAAATGTACTTGGCCTGAAGGGAGAGGGCAAACAACAGACACCAGATCAGATTAGGTACAACGTTAGTGTCTAAAGTGGAAAAATGTTCTAGTGACAATCAACATCAACAAAAGACAATTCTTTGTATATTCTTATCATATCCTTTCTTTTGGGCAGTTATATCTATCTTAAACATGTTGTTTTCTTGCAGCAAGGGTTAAAAAAAATCAAAGGGAAGAACACAGACAAGACCTGGGCCTTGTGCGGTCCTTGGAAAGTTTTTGATTATAATTATTATAGAGTAGTAATAGAACACTAGAGCAAATATTTCACTTATATTTATATTTATCTTATAGGCATTTCTTTCACCAGTAACAGTGTTGATCCAGCCCTCCACCACATGCTGGGATTAGATTATAGCCCTTGGGAAAATAATTATTGCCCAATCCTGACATAAACCTTGATTCTGTGCTCCGTTTCAGTGCAGACATCATGAAATATCATTCTTTAATAATATGACAGTAAAAACAAATTACCAACACATTTGAAATTATGCAAAGACTTCAAAAAATTTGGTGCCGAATTAAGGAGGACATATAAGACAGAAGTGCCAACATTAACTAACATCTAAATAACACCTAATTAAGGGCACAGCGGGAGCAGGGTGGGAAAGGGATAGATATATTTAATGCCATTGTACTTTTTTAAATAACTGTTTGAATATAGATTGCATTGTTTATGCTATTTTTGTATTCTATGTTTTGTTTCTCTCAGGGACTATAGATGGAAATTAATTCTAATAGCTACTGTCCTGTATAAAGCATCTTTTCAATGATTCTTTGATTAATTCTCCTGTATACGGTCCCTGTCAAATAAGTAACTAAAATGAAACAGCACTAAAGCCTTGTCAAGGTATTTTAAAACAAAACAGTTAGCATGTACAAAATATTGCAATAAATATCTTACCATGAAATATTGTGATCATATCACACCATGAGATGTGAATATTGTTACATCCCTGGTATGATTAAAGGCATTCCCAAATTGAACATTTAACAGAGTGAGTGAGATGTGTGTAGTTTAAATTCTACATTTAAAGAGTGTTTTGAGGCCCAGCATTTGTTGTGACTGTGTTTTAAAATAATTCTATAACAATTATGGCGAGGTAAAAGATAATACTTGTTAAAAATACAAACTAGAGCGACAACAGTGACTATGTGTGAAACTGCGATGTAAAATGCATTGTTAGAAAGAGCAACTTTACAAAACAAACGTGCTCACATTTAGCTGAGTGAGAGAGAGTGCTGGTCATGTGTGTGGAGTCATAAGACACCACAGTAAGAGGAGGGGGTCAAGGGAGAGGACTGCTGCCCCAGGACAAACTACAGCGAGCGGGCAGCCAGAGAGGCACTCAGCCCACTGTCACCAGACACACATGACAGTCTTTTTCAGTGCCTGATTCAGAAACAATTGAAATTGCTCAAATAGCATTCTGATAGCTAAGACACAGTTAAGGACTATGGAAAGTTAAGGGCAGTGTGCAAAATAGATTAATATATTCAGTAAGTAACAAAATAACCAAAAAGGTCTGAAAGAATGATTGGAAAGGGAATGTGTTAGTATTGCAGTTACATAAATTGATGAAGTTGCAACACTTTCATAAGAAATAGCTAAATAAAAATAAAACAATATTCTAGTGCAAATGTGTCAGTAAATGATCTAAATCGAGTTTCTTGTGCAATAGATTACTTTTGAATAAATATGAAAGACAAATGTGACATGTTCCAAACTGTGGGACAAGGGGAAAAAGTCAGCACAGGTCCACCAACAGTGTATTAATATTTTAAACACACTATCCACAGTTGCCCAGGCAACCACCACCCTATCCACCTGATCAGGTAGAGTTTCCACAGGTGAATTGCTTAAGACACAAACAAACATCAAGACATCAAAGACTAATAATGTTACAA